TACTTCTCAGCTAGATGTACCTGAATCTCTAGTGAATGGTGTTATCGGAAAAATAGGAGACCGGCAAGTCAACAATACAATAAAATCAATTAAAGGGGGAATTCAAACAAGAACAATAATAATGATTTTAACCAATAACAACATAATATAACTGACATACATTACACTTGAAAATAAACAAAACAAAAAAAGAAATTCGCTACGTGAAAATCATTAATACTGTTTTATTTTCTTTTTCCAGAAATAATTAAATAGTCAGTTTACTGTTTACAAAATACAAACAGATAAAAAGACACCGCATATGTGTGAATCAAAGCAATGCTAGTTGGACAGTATTTATTGATTCAGCTATTTCCAATATGCTGAATTTTTCTCTAAATGAGATATGTATACCACTGAAGCGTATAGCGCATTTTACAAAATTAAAATCATAACTAATAAGAGCTAAGACACAACAGATCTGAACTTTAGTTAGAGAACTATTGGTAAAGCAGAGAGTACTGAATATCTGTTTTATCCTAGTTTGGGGCTTTTCTGTAATAGGCTTCCACCTGGGTTTGAACCCAGGATCCTCCAGTGTGTACCACCAAAGAGTCCCAGACTAGGACGAAATAGTTGTTCAGTTCAGTACGCCTTGTTTTTCAAGAAGTTGGTCTAACTGACCTCAGCTCGTGGACAAACCTGTAACAAAAAAATCCCTGCAAACTAACACTGGAGCTTGACTCATCAAAGTCTGAGTTTTCAATGTAGAACTTTCTACAGAAATTAAGTAGTTCAATTCGCTACATTCTATATGATATACAAAGGTAGAGACATAGAAAAGAAAATTCAAAAGAACTACAATGAACAGAAATGTACAGGAGAATATTGAGGCTCTAATGGATCTGGAACATTACGAAGAAGAGTGAATGCATCTGAGGCCACTGATAATAACACTTTTAAGCCATGTCAATAGCAGTCTCGAGCCATTAATTCTTAGTATCTTGAGGACCCAGACCTAAAACAATTACTTAAAAGACGATAGAGAATATCAGCGAGTTAAAGATGTAAATGTATACTATTATAATATGAATTTCATTCGTCTTCCAGACTAGCTACAACTGCCGACCGCTACTGAATTTTATCAAAACGTATATACAACAAACAAAGTGCATATCTCCTTATTGACTTAAGGCCTCAACTTTCACCCGATGGGTTCTGGATTCGAACCCTCCCCCGCCTACTTCTAGCCTGAACATTTTTAATTGGTTAGTATTATCAGACTTTACACAATATGTATGCGGCTCACGGCCTAGTACATGATGAATTTATTCAGGATAGCTGAGTCTTAACAATAACGACACGGACAACAGATAATATAAATCATAAATGACCATGAAGAAATTATCATCTACAAAGAATGCAGAGACATCCGGTTGATAAATCCCAAATACTAGAAACCATTATCAGTTTAAAAGTTAGAAGACAATGGCAGTAAACATCCATTCAAGGCGTCCATTCATAGAGGAAAATGAGACGAATTCATTCAGTTTAGACATATTACCACGAGATTACAAGTGTAAAGTAGATGGTATTATTACGAATATTAGTAAGATCTTTTATTCAGAGGAATAGCACACGAATACCCTTGGATGGGAGTAATTCAAATGTGAATAAAAATAACAATGGAAAAATAATTACAAAAAAAAGAATCTACAAAAACTTAGAAAAGAGTAGAATGTATAAAATTTAGATTTTGAAATAATGACAATGGTTGAATAGACAAAAACAACTTCACATTATTTCACTTATATTCTTCGGTAAATTGTTATCATGAAGACGAAAGCAAAAATTTAGCAAGTGTATTTACTCTTTTGAATATAGGATTTCAGATTAAGCCACTCATCTGGCTATTCCTTCAGAGGAAAGCAACGGACAAGAATCCTTACTATGATTGATTCAACAGTATACGCAGCATATCCCATTATTAAAATATTATTATTCCCTTAAGTCTTAAGTGCAACACAAGGCTTAATCAGGACACACCTCCATTTCATTCTATTCCCTGCAGTCAATTTTAGCTGGCTCCACAATTTCCCATACGCCTTAATTTATTCTTCACACGACTCCTCCATGTCACCCTCTGACACATGTCCAATTCGAAGTTTCCCCTTGGGGTTCCACTTGAGGGTTTTGCACATTGTGTCACTCAACAGCCATTTCGAAGTATATCCAATCCATCTCCGTTTCCTTCTGAATGTTTGTTGGAAGATAGGTTGTTGGTTGGTTCATTGAAACAGTTTCCTGTTGCTTATCCTTTACAACTGGCCATTTCATCTTCGATTCGGAGCAAAAGCAGCTTTTGATGAAAGTAAAGAACAGCCTGTTGGGAATGTTTTTGGTGAGGCATAATTCAATTTTCTGAACTATATAGAAGCACTGACTGACTTGACACTGGTGTTGATAATCCGAATCTCATCTGTGATACTGAGTGGAGTAGATTTCCACATTGATATAAAATTAACGAAGATGTGTCTTCACTTTCCAGTCCGATCCTGCCTGTCTCTTGGATCCTCATTCATACTTCCTGTAGTTGAAACGACGCTTCTTAGGTCAGGTAAGTGAAAGAGATGACTTTCTTCAAATTCATCCTGTTGACAATGATTGGTGCTTATTGTTGTTACTGGTAATTTATATTCCTCAACTCTATTATCTCTGTGTTTATTTGGTGGTTTTCGCCTGTAGATCTTCCATTCTATTCGACATAAGACATAAATCATACTCGAATTCCAGATCTCCCAGTATCTTTTCGTCGGTCCATCATAACCCAAAGACATTAAATGTAGTTTGTATATATTGTCTGAATTTAGATTACTTTTGGGAATGGTAATAAATGCAGGCGGGAACTCTTCTTCATTTCTAGTCATTTCTCTACTTTCCATTATTATGGCAGAAAAACAACTCAGCGCACACTCACATCCATAAACTTGGCAAATACCTTCTTTTCCAATGTACATAGTACTTTGTGTGCCATAATAATAAACGGTTTGTTCTTATTCCTATGTCTGGATGGATATTTTTCGTGAACAATAAATTACAACACCAATAAATCGTACTTGTAGACAAACAGAATTTCTCTTTACTTGTGATGAGGCACTGCGCTGTACACTCCTACGTTTGGTGAAAACATTTCCTGTATTTACAGATGAATATCTAAAAACCATGTGTATTGCCATGATAATTAGACATTTTTTGTTGTTGATGTGGTGGACAACTTTTCTTCATGTTACTTTGTAAGATTGATTGTTTGAATAGCATTTTAAATAGTCCTTTTTTGCAGCTTACATAACAGACAACTCTAATATGATTGGTTAGTTAGTTATTGAAAAATTAGTTGACCGGAACAGAATTCTCATGTACTGGGGGCTATGAGACAAACTTATTGTAGGAGGGCTAGTGATATTAGACAGTTGTTCAGACTGAAGTAAATGAAGCAGGATTCAGACACGCGACGCTGCATCTCCAGCTAAAAAAATGCAGACAACTAAACGAAATTCAAAATCCACAAATATTAATTCGAGATTTGCAGTTTACACAGTTAAAGATGAAACTTCACCACAGGTTTCTTTGGAAACTGAAATTGTTCACGTCACAATATAAAATCTACTTTATCTGAATAATTTCGATTTCCTAAGAAAACTGTGGTGAAATTTCACCTCAGACTATGGAAACTGTAAATCGTGAATTAATTTGCAAATTGAGAATTTTACTCAATGTGTTACTAGGTCGCCCGAGTAGCTAGGCAAAACTCGGTTGACCTGAACCGGTTCGGATCTCTGAGCTGTGTCACACTGAGTACATCACTGATGAGGTCGGCTAAAAGACAAGCTAGTGAAAGCCTTCGATAAGTCAGTCAGCCAATATGTCTTCTTTGAATAAAAGTCAAAATAAGCATGAACAGATAAAATGTCCACACAATGTTCATCAAGTGATAGTACATCAATATTATAATCAGATGAAGGCCACTGATAGTTACTGTTTAAATAAGTAACAATATGTTTTCACCCCATTAATAATGTCAAACGAAGAAAACTCTCCACCGCACATTTGATGATTCATCTATTACTGAAAGAGGAGAATTCGAGGGTTTCAAATACGTGCAAATATGGAGCATTTCTTTTTTACTGGCGCTTACGATAATTTGCAGCATTCTCGGAAGTTAAGGTAACACGGGGTACCGAAAAGTAATCAATAAATGATGAATGATCGTGGATGATTACCTGCAGCTGTTTTAAAGTATGAAAGACAGAATTTTCTTCAAAGTGAAAGATTTTACACTTACACACAACAGACATCAGGAAATCAATCAACTATGTATTCATTAGTGATTGGAGAATAGACGATTTCATATTATTTGGTTATTCGTACTGATCTATTCTACAGTGTGATCACCTATGGACTAGGCGATCACTGTAAGTCCGATTCGCAGTTTACATAGCTTGGGGAGGTGAAATTTCACCAGAGTTTCCTCTGTTAACGAAAATTATTTACACCACAATCGGTGATCTGATTCGGCTCTGTGAGTTGAGTCGAACCTGGTGGTCAACTCGGCCTAGAACGAGCGAAACAACCGTCCGTTGTCTAGATCACTCCAATGATCTGGCTAGCCAGCACTACTGATTGATGTGAGTAGTCTACAACTACTCATGTAAATCAATAAGTAGTAAATCAGCGTCATGTATCTTTGCAAAGTATCAATGTGAGTGAGACGCTACTCAGTGAAGTGGGGTTCAAGCCCATGAAACCGAATGATTAGAAATCACTCGCTTAAACCAGTTACTTACAGAGCTCCATAAACTATCAAATTTGAAACTATTTAGACTGAAAATCATATACATGATAGTAGAACAAAGCTATGATACAAGAACAAAACCAATCACAAAAATTAATAACAAGAAGAGAAAATATCAATCGGACTGATCATAAGATTTCTATAAGTAATAAAGAAAAGAAAGACTTACTCGTATGGAAGCTGACTTTTGATTACATGATAAAGAATTTGAAATAACTGTTGTCGTTGTCATTTTAGTTTTCATATCTGTTTGTAAACAATTATTCGTTTCTTGTTCTGCTAATTCACGTTGTCTCATTTGAGAGAAATACTTTACTCGACCTAAAACAGCTTCTAATAGGATCTGAATAAAATGAAAAGAGAACAAGAACAAATGGAATGTGAACATAGTTTCATGCCTAGACGAACATTCAAAGCTTGAAGTAATTAATTTACTGCATCAATACACATCGATCTACATTGATATTTACAGTTAGAATCGTCGTATATGATGGAAAGAAAAATATCTGGGAATTATTATAATTTGACTTACATGGATTGATATTTTAAGAAAAATTCAAGCAATCATACTAATCTAATCAGTAGTGAGAATCCTACTTGAGACTTATCATCTGGACGTACCTTCGTCTCCTATGAATGATGGTTTTCCCGATCGGACTGGAACCGACCGAGCAGGTGCACGTACAAGAACACCTACTTCACGAGTCGCAAAAGGGACAAAACATGATTTCTTGATTTTATTGTTAACTATAGCATGCACACGCCCAGCAACTATATGGCAATGACACGAGTCAGGTTATGCACAACAGAAAACTCAGCAAAACATTTTGAAGCGAATACAGGAGTAAGAAAAGACTGCTTATTACCACCCACGATGATATTCCTAATTGTTGTGGACTGGATTACGCGGCACACCGTATGTAGGGAGAAAGAAGACACGAATACGTTGAACTGATAAGAAGAACCTAGGAGATCTACACTTCGTGGCGGACGACTTATGGCTAGTTACATACAAAATAGAAAACCTAGAGGCGAAAACCAACAAACTGGCAGCGAAGACAGGACTTCAAGTAAACGCAGAGAAGACGGAGTTGGTGATGATAACCGACCAACAACAGCCATCATCAATCACCATCAACGGGAGAAACTTGAAAGAAATCACTTCCTTCACTTATCTAGGAAGCCTTATTTCAAATACAGGGGGAACGGATGAGGATGTCAAAGCTAGAATCGGAAAGGTAAGATACACCTTTATCAATCCGAAATCAGTTTGGAAATCTTCGGTACTCAGCACAAATGACGAAATTTGGATTTTCAGCACCAATGCTACGTCAGTCCTTCTATATGGATCAGAAAATTGGCACGTCACGGAAAGCATTCCTAACAGGCTTCAGACTTTTATCTACAGCTGCGTTTTCTGGTTCCATACTGAAGATCAGATGGCCATCCAGAAAGAATTAATAAAAATATCTGGGAACGAACCAACCACCGACCTGTTGCTCAACAAATTTTCCGAAGAAAGTGGAGATGCACTGGACACACTCTGAGGAGACCGTTGGGTGGCATCTCGCACCAGGTTTACGAGTGAAACCTGAGTGGGAAATGACGAGTTGGAAGTCCGAGAGTGGCATGGAGGAGATCGTGTGAGAAGATGAAAGCCCATGGGCACTCGTGGGATCAAACAAAGAGGACGACTGTAGAGAACAAGACAAAGTGGAAATGTTCTCCTGAAGCATTATATTTCACTTAGAACCCAAGGGAATAATAATAAATTTAAAGGCAAGGTCGAGTCGTCTGTACGTGTCACTTTACATCTTTATTGATAGTTCTTATTGACTTGAAATATGAATCTTTTATCAGGACACATATTTATATCACTCATGAAGAATTCAAAAATAAGTTTGCTTCTTCATATTAAAGCTTGAGCTAAAGGTGGTATCTAGAAGGAGACAGTGAAAGCTTCACAATTAAATCAGCCAGTTCAATGAACATAACCAAATCAAAATCATCCACCCGAGCTATAAATCTTCTCTATTAAAGCAGGATTATAATATCCGTTTGGTATTTACCAATAGTCGTCGGGAAGATATCCGGTGATCAATCAAAGACAGGAATGTACAACGTTGAATACATAAAAAAGAACCAGCGAAATAATAAATTTTCACTGGTAAATGTGTCTGGGAAATCAAGAGTCACAATCACCCTCGGTAAGCAACAGTAGCTGAAGTAGTCGAATACTTAGAAGAGTTTAAACAGATGATGAAGCCTGTAACTGTTAATCTGAGTCAAGTAGTTGTGTTTTTATACTCGACTGGAGTAAAGAACCCCTGGTTGGAAAATCTTGATGAGATGGTGGAAGATTATTTACAACTGCTCTGATATTGTTCAAATTTTGAATAAAATCACCAATTCTTACATGACTATATACTTTCTTTTCACTCCACATGTATAACAGAAAGGGATCTCTTGTAACTTTCAATTGATTTGTTAACTCTCTTTTCTCAATTCATTATCGTCTGCTTTTTTTCTATCTAAATATCTTTCAATTTATTTCAAAGTGGTTTTCAGAATGAATCGATATCACATTTCAAGAGATTTTGTAAAAACAAAAACAACTCATTTTGTATCTTCTCGCCCGCCTCCTCTATCCTCAAGGTGTAAACGATCGACATTTTCAGAAGTTTTTTTAAAGAAATCTAGGTTGAAACAACTGTTTGCTACTTCTTGATTTCCCATAATCCTCTTGTAACAGAAATTAATTTGAAATCTATTATCCTGAAAATACAATGCGAATAATTTTCTACTTATTGAATTAACTTTCTGTTTTGTTTAGCGCCATTAAGAATCATTGGAACTTGAACCATGGGAAGTTTTATGCAAATTAAATTCCATAATGAACCGGTATCATTTAGTGAACAACTGGAAACAAGGGGAGTGCTAAATAGCTATTTCTTCTTGGTCCGAGGACTCATCATCAGTACTAACTTGTGACTGTTCTGGGGATGGAACCCTAGGCTTACATGTTACGAGGTGATAGCATTGACCACTTCAGCCATAGGAACAAGAACGAATAGCCCATCGATTCTAAATCGCTCCAGTTTGCCAATTTAATATTAAAGAAGATAACTGATCACCCGTAGGTAGCTATGAGAATGCTTAAAAACCAAAATCATGAATTCACATCTCCTATCCTGTTAACTGCTATTAAACCAAATTTCCTTGACAGTATTTAAATAGACGCCTCCACAAACGACCTGATACCACAGACGGTGGGTAAACTTCTGTCTCCCACTCGAAATGTTTTCATTCAGTCACGTGTTCATAGCCTATGTCAGGTAAATCTTATTCAGTGTCCTCACGCGCTTGAGGTGTTCCCCACAAAAGTGAGAGGGTTAATATGAACATCTGTTGCTTACGACAGTGTGTCGGTGGCCCAGCGGTGGAATGCTCGCCAACCACGCCTCAAGTGGTCCGGGGTTCGATCCCCGGCCACCGATGCACTCCTTTACCTCGCTGAGCCAGTAATAAAAACTGGTAAACAGGGAAGGTTGGGCATAAGGCTAGCAACCCCATCCTGTAAAAACAAACACCACTACAGAAACTTCAAGACTCTAACTTGAAGCCCTATGTTCCACTGGGAACGTGAAGGAATAAAAAGGTGCTTACAATTGGACTGATGGTCATCCTTGTCTATTTAATGCACCTGGAAAACCCCGATTCCAAACCTATGGGTTTCAGAATTTGAAAGGATAGAATGGCGTATGAACCTGGTTTGGTCACCATCAACCATGGTGTACGGAAGAAAAGACCGATGAGACTCGAAGGAATGCTTATTGGGAAAAACTAATTATAGGGACATCAATTTGGTATACAATATCTCCAATGTTTTATTTGCACATCATTTGCAAACTGGTTGAATATCACTACATCCGATAGCTTGTTGGGTTCTGCACAGTGTTTCTAACGTTCTCCTCACGGTTCTGTTCTTCGATTACTTTTTCCAGTGTCGGAAACATATTGTTGCTTTTCTGAACTCGTTTACTACTTATACCTGATTATGAGTAGCACTCACCACGATGGGAACGTAGCTCGTGACACTTCTCCACTATCTTGTGGATCACACTTTAGAGTCAAAAGTTCATGGGGTGATCCCTTAAGATAACCACCTGCTTCGACCTGGACTTCTGAGCAGTATCCCAGCCCCAGCATAATCTATGAGCTTTTGTATGGCATATTTCATGGTGTTCATAATGAAAAAAGTTTGTGTTTTTAATAATAGATCATAATTTAGATGCACAAACAAAGACAAAAATGAAGGACTTTACTTAATAGACCATTTCTGTTTGAAACTACCTGGTGATGAATGAAGTAGTACACTAATTGTATGAAGAATGAGGATGTTCTAAATTATGACTTATTGATTTAAAAATTCGAGCACCAAAAGAAGTCCATCACAATTCGATAAGCAAAAAAAAACATACAAAACTGTAGGAGAAGAAAATATTACACACTTACATTTAATTCACTAAAAATATATACTAATTCTTTTATTAAGGGAATTAAGATAGAATCTAAAAAATTCAATTGACTAGTGGATTTCACCACACAATCTGGATCCATAAAGGCGGCAACAGGAAGACCAGCTTGTTTTTCTGCATTCGCCTTTAAACAAAAAAAGGGAAGAGAAAAGAGAAGAAAAGAAGCAACATCAATACACTAAATAACCCAACTGAAAAAAAAGCGAAAAGTATAGGGGGAACATTGTGAGGAAAAAAATACATTAACAATAAATTCCTTTGATCTATTTTTTTCGGAGTCTAGTATATTATTAAATAATGTAACTATAATATATACTTATATAAACAGAAGAGAAACTATATTTCTTAGTTTGTTGAGATGAACAATACTCAACACAATCATATCAGGACAATTTCATCTTTTCCTTTCTTTTCAAGTTAATTTTTTAACTTCTTGTTGACTGATTATACTGGACTGGAGATGCTCGGAGTCTCTGTTAACATGTAGACTTCCAGTATGGGTGTAACGACAATGCCTTGAAATGACCATGTTAAGTGATCAGCAGTAGAATTCGAGCCTTACGGTCCAGTATAGTCGTCGGTCAACAAGAGATTCAAAATAACTCTAATAAATAACAACTGGTACCAGTTGGTACAACAGAAAGTAGCTTTTGTTATCCAGTAACCTAGTGGATAAGAGTTTGGTGTTTGACACCTTGGGTTCAAGTCTCAGTGGGAAAAGCATCATTCACTGGGAATGAAGGTAAACAAAGCCGATAGGTTCCAAATACAATGAAACGCACATCCTAGATTCCATTGTTGCCCATCACCAGCTAATCAACGTCAGATTAATCTTTTCGTGTATTAAAACAAAAATGGGTAAATTTAAACTAACAAGAAGGCTTCGAAGAAGAAAAACCGAAACTGCTAAGGAACTTAAAGGCAAAGAAAAAAATCGATAGAACGTCAACCAGCAAGACAGATATTTCTCAATACCAAGAAAAACACATAAAAGTAATAAATTTATAGGAGTAGTCTGAAGAAAATCATGAGAAAAATGATAAACTGTTAATTATTATCAAAATTTCACAACTATTGTTTGGATGAAGGGACACTGTTAGAAGTGGACGCTTTACTGTATTACTGTGATCAGTGTTGGCCTATATTATCTAATTTACAAGTATCGACTTCGTGATGATGCCCCCAAAAGAATTTATAAAAGATAATATAAAAGTGAGAAAAAAGAGGGTAAAACCGGAGAATGACAGGATGGAAGAATGCAAAAAAGCAGTCACAATACCATATAAAAATGGTACGTCAGAGGCAATTCGAAGAAACCTCAAAAATATCGGTATTCGCCCAACGTTTAAACCGATGAATCTAGTCAAAAATAAAATAAATCAACTGAAAGATCCCATAAAATTGATGGATAAAAACAATTTGATTTACAAAATATCTCGAGCTGACTGTCCGACATAATTTGTGGGCAAACGTCCAGATCACTCAAAATAAGAGTGAATGAACATAAACGCCTAACTAAAGATCAACCAACAGGAACACAAGCTTACAAGAATCTTGGAAAAAATTCATCTATAGCTGTACATACTTGGGACAAAAACCACAATATCGATTGGAACAATGTGTGTATTCTAGAAACTAATATTGTAACAACAGAAGACAAGGGCCAGCCAACAGATACTTTATTAAGGATTTTAATGTACATTATTGTAGATTATTGTTAGTAGAAAATACAGTCTTTTGACTGGTTGTTTCTCACAGAAAGTTAACCTTGCATCTGTTTTTGGCTGTGTCAGATCATCGATGTGCTAACTGTATCCGCCTACGCAAAGCCTTTGTTCTCATTTTCTGACCACCAATATTGGGGACATAAACATTGACGTAAATTACTGTCTACCAACTTTGGCTAGCAGCCCGCTCTCACCACAATATGAACAAATGTTATGAGAGACTTAAAACAGAACCTATATTCACCAAGGTCACACCGGATACATGTAACAAGGGTGACTCAGTACAACTGTCAACAACTTGGAATATAATTCTGAATACAAAAACATGAATGAACAAAAAATGCACTAAATATATATGAGTACAAATCATAAATGTGTGAACGAAACAATTCTAACAGTGGTGTGAACACGGGCAGTAATTTTACTCGAAATATTACCAATAACAAAACTTATCATTGTGTGTAAACTATTGAAATATAATTTATACTTTATTTGATCTATTCCACAATGCTCAAACATTTTACTGACAGGGAGATAAAGTTTCTCTAAATAGTCAAAGACTTCACACGTCTGTCATAATTAGATTTCCTACTGTCCAACACTGCGCTGAAAATTGAAAAAGGCAGCTACTTAGGATGTGTAGAGCATGTTCAAGATACTTGAGCCAATAGAGGTTTACAACTTCATTCATTTAATTCACTCTTTACACATGACTGAACATTGAATTCTATTAAATATAAATAATTGTGCAAAGGAAATACAATGGTTTCAGAAATTCTCTATATTGTGTCATAGAGTAGGGTAGAAAGCATGCAGAACATGTATGTACACCAGTGCTAAAGTAACGATGCATTACAAATACTTGTCACTAGAAATGTCACTAAAAATTGTACAGTTTGATAGTATCTTCATCTAACGGAAGCATATTTGGGTTATTCAAAGTGAAAATTAAAAAGCCTGTCAGTCCTTGTGAAATTAAAATCCCTTAAATGACAATTATGATAGTGAATGTCGACGATAGAGACTAAAAGGAACAAATATTTCCGCCTCAGTGGTTGAATGGTCAACGGATTGGTCTCGTAACCTGAAGGTTGTGGGCTTGATTCTCGGTGAGATGTGTACGTGCTGATGAAGAGTATTAAACTACAAAGAAGCAGCTGTCTAGTATACCATCAAAACGTGAAACAGTCTAAATAGCTGTTGCAGAAGGAGCATTAGTTATGCATGTACACATACATACGCGTTACTTGGATAGATGAAGACCATAATATATATTCCTGACTAGCTTCTAGTGATAAAAAAAACGACAAAGCTATTGGCACAAGGATAGCTCTGTGTGGAAGTTGGTAATGCCTATAAATAACTTATGAATTAGAAAAATTTATTTCCCTATACGAATTTAAGATAAGCAGGATTTAATGAGTTCATAAAATTTCGGTAGAACTCCACCTGAATATTCTACGTACAGGGATATATATACAATTAGGATCACATTGGGAGATATAAGACAGATAAGCAAATAAACTACATTGAATCAATCATTCAAAACGACAGGTGTGAATGTTTTTTAGGTCATATTCAAACAGATTTGTGCAGAGCTGTATTATGCGATCTCTAAAATCCAGCTGGTAGCTAACTAATTCCTATTGGACGCATAGACTTTTCAATATATATACTAGAATGACTCACTGATTGGTGTTACGCGTCTAGTCCTTGGTGCTGGTGCAGACTGAATTCTATTAGTCAACTAAGAAAAGTGGTCACCAAGCTAGGTGGCTCACCATCGCGATACACTTTGAATTAATGTTAGGTAGCTGGAGGCAATCAGTAGGAAGTTCTGAACTTGGGACTTAGGATGAGTATGTTAGATGTTCACTTGTGCGAAAACTAGTAAGTATTGATCAGATCAACAACAAAATTCGGATTTTCAATACAAACGTCAACTCGGTTCTTCTATATGGATCAGAAACTTGGCGGGTCACCAAGAATATTTCCAACAGCCTGTTGCAGACCTTTATCAACAACTGTCTTCGCTCTATTCTGAAGATCAGATGGCCGGAAAGAATCACCAACAAGAAGCTATGGGAACAAACAAAACAAGAACCAATCGTCCAACAAATATGCAGAAGAAAGTGGAGATGGATTGGACACTCGCTGAGGAGGTCGTTGGGTGACATCGCGCGTCAGGCCATAGCTCGAGTGGAACTTGAAAGGGAAGCGGCGAGTGGGACGTCCAAGGGTGACATGGAGGAGATCGTGTGAAAAGAAATTGAAACAGTATGGATTAACATGGACGCAGGTGAAAAGTAGGGCAGAAAACAGAAGCAGGGGGAGATGTGTAGTTGAAGCCCTATGTTCCTCTAGGAACCCAAGGGAACGATAAAAAAATTTTTAAAAAAATTGATCAGACAAACTAGTTTTCATGTAAAAAACAGGTCATCTTACTCAACGACAACTAGCACTTTCATGCTGTTTGACATGAGCCACACACTCTTATTGTATGACGGCTAATCATACCATCTGATTGCTGAAAGCACGTTAGATGGGGTAGGGTTCGGACCCGTGACCCCAGAGGTTGGTAGTCGACCGTTTATATTAGTGAGACATAGCTCCAAATGGAAAACAAACTTGAATTGTTGTTAGTTGAAATGTTTTTTTAATCCATGCTGGTAAATTTCTCTAAGGAAAAAAGCGGGGTATGGGGTGTGAGGTATCGGTGATCAGAAAAACTCATATTTCAACATCAAGACATCTGAATTAACAGCAAAAATTGATATATCCTATGAACTAGATGACAACCTACTAGTCAAAAATAAGATGTTTAGTCTTGTGATTGATTCACACGGATAGTCTGGTGCATGATGGGGTTGAGGGTGGCTTGAATAGTTTGCCGGTGACTTCTATTTTTTCTTCACTGTGTAACACACACATAAAATTTTATCAAGGCGTATCAATAGAGAAAGTAAGTTGAGGAAATTTTACCCACTGAACTCTACTAATAACTAGAAATACTAATTTAGGATAGAACAGTTTGTTATAGATTGTACCAGTAACGAAAGCATATTACTGAGTTAATCAGCCTACCCATCTAGCGGATAAAAAACAACACATACTTTATGTGTCGGTGGTTAAATAGTAGAATGCTCACCAACCAAGGGCACGGGGGGAGATTTTATTCCCGATCGATGCATTCCTAAACTTTGCCTGGCTTACTAGTTGACAGTGAGCCCAGGAAAGGAGAAACTACTAACCTCACACTGCAAAAAAACAGCTACCACAACTGAAACTTCAAAAGCTAGAAGTTCTCCCTATACTCTAATAGGGACAGAAAGGAATGAAAATGCTTCAGGTTACTTAGGTCAGTAAATAAATGAAGAACTAAGTCCACCATTTGCAT